ACGCACGTACACACGTTTGCATGGCGCGAACAGGTTGATTGTAAATTTCATGCACACTGAGAAAGCACGATGTGCTCCTCGATGAGGCACATATGATTCCCATTCAGCGCAATTTATTAGAGGTCACCGAAGGCTTCGAGAAGTCCGCGCATCACTCATTCTAATTCGTGTGTTGACCTTTTTCTGTAGGACACGCATTCAGACATGCACATCCGCACACACACACATATATATATATATATATACACCGGCTGGGATCGATTTTCACATATTCCCCAACGGTGCCTATGTGGATGTGTTGTGTGCAACGAATGCATTTATTTTGGCCCAACCGTGCGGGTGCAACACACAAGTGTATTGGTTTACTGGCATGAAAATGGATATAATTTATTCAAGTTCATCCGACAGAGAAAACTGATATTCCTTAGACGTTCCAGGTCACTCTGTACTTTAGGACATTACTTCATAACCGTAGAGTTTGATTCAAAAAGTGCATTACTAAACCAGTTATCATCCTCATCCGAGTCATCATCATCAGCATCATCATCATCATCATCAGCAGCAGCAGCAGCAGCATCATCATCATCACCATCATCATCCGAATCATCATCCGAATCATCATTATCATCATTATCATCATCACCATCAGCAGCAGCATCATCATCATCATCACCATCATCATCCGATTCATCATCATCATCATTATCATCATCATCATCAGCATCAGCAGCAGCATCATCATCATCATCACCATCATCATCCGAATCATCATCCGAATCATCATCCGATTCATCATCATCATCATTATCATCATCATCATCATCATCCGAACCATCTAAGTCTTCATCCCAGTTATCATCATCACTCTGATTACAACCATAAACAGTATTTTTTTAAAACTAATACCAGTGTGATTCACCGGCTCTCGATCAAGACTCCCATTCTCACCCAAGTGAAAAAAGTGGTGATTTTTTGATTGAAAATTACGGACCGAAAAACAGAATGATAGCGCATTCGGAGTGCAAAATCCGCAAAGCTATATTCTATTTAGTAGATTGTGGTCGTTTATTGAGAAAAACATAATACATCTTTAACAACGAACGAAAGAATGTTGTCACGAACTATGTATGACCAGATTAATGAATGATTCAAATGAGTCCTTCGTTATTGTTAGGCATTATTTTTGTGTGAAAAAATTGCATCGTTTTGTGATACGATCCTGAGCAAAAAGCACTGACTGGTCGGTTTATTGGACTGCCACTAGTTGACCGTAGTTCAGTCGGAGCGGTTGTCAGTCTAGGGTTCGTTTCCTATCTCTGTCGCTTCACTGGATTACTTCACTGGATTTAAGGTATTCCGGTTACCAAACTGCGTCATTGGTGCCAAGTCCAATCAGAGTGTAGCAAAGAAAACCCAACGAATTTAGTTGAAACTTAGGAAAATGATTTAATGAGCGAGAGGAAATATCAAATGAAAACACAGGGAAGCACTGGGTTATGGCTTACACAATTGACTGACACGTTTGTCAAAACATGCATGTGGTTTCATTGATTGACTGATTAATCGATTTTCCAAATGTTGCCTGCTATCAGACACACACACACGCACTCACCTCACACGCGGACTAATTCAATGACAATATCAATCGGCTCCAGCCAATTCGATTTTATAATTGGACTGTCCGTGCTGATTGATGTGTTGACGGTAATCCGATGTTGAGTGAGGCTTGAGCCATTTGCCTACCTATCTACCTGTCCACGTGCCTAAGGGGTTTTCTTCCCCTTGCTTACTCACCGGTCTGCGGATCGGCTATTTATGTGCCTACTACATTAATCATACTGTCTAGCTCACTACGTATTCATTTACCCACGTCAGCAGCACATAACATAGTGTATAGCTGTTTCTACTCTAGAAGATCTCCTCAGCGGTGTGGATTCGATGACTCAACTGTAGCTTGAACCCGGATAATTCGTACAGTTACACGGCTTATTTGATCTCCGAGTAACGTACCCAGAATTTTCGTTCTTCTGTACACGATTTAAATAAATCCATCTTTGTTCGCGACCCGTGAGCACCTGACTGGGCCCCGGGGTCAGGATTTGGTTGAATACAAATCAAAAAGGGATTACTTGTTGCATACGATTTAACTGGCTCAAGGCTTCTATGTAACTCATCAAAGCTTAATTACAATATAATACGATACGATACAATACAATACAGTAAAAAACCTAAGCAAATTGTGGTGTTCCAAGACTACGAGATGACGTGTATCCTGGAGCGACGCGTTACAGCTTTTAGACAACTGCGATCAATCAAATTTCACGAGTGACGTCAGCAACGCGCATACGTGTCATTACTTCTGACTACATGCCATAGGTAGATTGTACCGGCCAATAAGAGACCGTGCGGCCCAACCAGAAGCTGAACGATGCCATCGATAGTGGAACCCGAT